AATACTTATTACTCCCTATGTCCCTATCCTATGTGGCATACTTTCCTTTTTAGTTTGTCCCAAAAGAAAAACATCTTTCTATATTTAGGAACATTAAACTTTAAACTTCTCATGGTACTCCAAGTGAGATGATCAATAGCACACAGATGTTTGGCTTGCTTTAGACCAAAAGTTTCAAAAGCCTTTCTCTCTTTAAACCTCATGAACAGTCAAAAATCACACATCAATTGGGATGGATGAGTATTATCTGTGATAGATTTAGGTATGATCTTTTTTCAGATAAAAATTATTTCACAATATTCAAAAGTTACAGCATAAGCAGAAACTGGATCTCTAACCTCTCAAGTATTTTGTTTTTCCTCAACTGCTTGCGAGAAAAAGTTGACTGCCAGGCAAGATTCTCTGGATACCAAGGTATTGGTCTTATTGCTACAACCTCACTCCCATCTGTCCCCTGAATCACAAACCCGATTTGGAAATATTATTGAATAGCAGGGTCTGAGCTAGAAGCAGCATACATAGTGCAGAAAGTTCATAATTCAGTAAGAAAAAGTAATCACAATCAGCTGATGAACCTCTTCTTGCAGAGATTTCATAAAATCATTCTCCAACTTTGCTTGAATTTCCAAGTAGCATTGGCTACTGCATCATTAAAAAACACAATGATGAATACGTAAGTAAACGATTTGCGTGGGACAAGGTAATCATGAAACCTTGGCCGATATATCTGGCAGCTCATATTGTTTGTTGACCATAATTTATGAATTCAGTTATCATAGGGAGCATATACAATGATGAATACGTAAGAAATTATCAACAAAGGAACTCTAACCGCAAATGAGCCTGTACAAGAAATTCATTTTAGAGAAGAAGATGGAATGCGGGAACAATTCATAGCTCAAATTATTCAAGATCACCGGCTAAAAGAATTCGCACCCACCCGGTGATTACTATCTTGAGCTAGTGATTGAAGAAGAACTTGGGTGTCAGCAGGACATGACAATCTAAACCACTAAGGACATGACCCTTGATAGGAAGTTTGGAGGTCGAAGATTAAGGTAGAATGTTGGTAGGTAGTCGAGTGCTGTAGCACCTTTATGTGGAAGATAGGGGGCTAGTCTGCCCTTTGCCTTATAAGTAGTATTATTATTTAATACTTATGTAGTATCTTTTACTACATCTTTTATTTGTTACTTCTTTGCTTCATTGGTTGTTTTTAGCTTGCCACTTTTTGCATTATTTTTTTTCTTTTCTAGCCTGTTCTGGTAATGCGTCATTGTGCTGAGGTATATCTGAAACAACCTCTCTACCCCCACAAAGGTACGAGTAAAGTATGTGTACATCCTACCCTTCCCACACCCACTTATGAGATTACACTGGATGTGTTACTGCAGAGCAAGAGAACACATGAAGACAAATGCAATGTACATTGTCCTTTTCAGATCACACTTCTCAATGCAGAAATAAGATTTATATGATGTGGAATATCATCGCTAGGTTATACAATTGTTTGTCTATCTAATAAACAGAAAGGTAAATAACAACAATAACAATATATCTAGTGTAGTCACACAAGATGGGGCCTTAGGAGGGTAGGGTCACGCAGACCATACTCCTACGTACGAAGGTAGAGAAGTTGTTACCAAAAGACCCCCAGCTCAGGTAATGCAAATCAAAGAACATACAGAAGGAAAGAAATAAAACGTGTAAATAAATAGAGAGGTTATCAAATGATAAATGAAAAGATACAGACCTTGAATTGATCCTGAAAGCAGCAGGTAATTCACTTCGAAGACAGTCCATAAAAGTATTCCATTCTTCTGGCGGCACAATCCCTTGCTCCTATACAGTCATGCACATACTATTACCCAAGTCCATAAATTTGTTTACACTCATTGCATGTATACGAAAAACAAATGAAAAAAGATAAGTTACTCCTTCCATCTCAATTTATACCATATGACACTAACTTATACAGCAAAATATTTCCATTTTGGTTGTCTCAAAAGATTTTAAAACCAATCCATTTCTACACAAATTTCACAACTTTCAAGAATTCAAATACATTAAATTATTCAAATATCCAACTTTGATATGTAGTTTTCCTAATGTTCTATCGGGCTTAAGTTTCCCATCATACTTCAACACTCTCTCTATCTCAATTTAATTTATGTGACACATTTGGCTTATCAACAGTAAAGTTAACTAATCTTCGAAGCTATTGTATACGATCAACTCAATATCTTTAAACTAAAACTCAGATATCCAAAACTATAGATCAAGTACTACAAGACATGCAACTCTTCTTAAGTCCATATTGATCAAGTTTAAATCTCGAGAAGCAAAAAGTGTCACATAAATCAGGAGAGTATCTAATAATATAATATACACAAGTCATATTAACATCTAAAATTCACAAATAAGGGAGTACCTTATAATACTCTTCAAAGGCAATATTTTGGATGACAAAGGGTTTCCAACCGGGATTACTGTTTTCTCTATTGTTATTATTATCAGCGGTACCATTTTGCTGCTGCTCGGGATCATTTTTGGTGTATTTCCAGTTGTTTTCTCTGCTTTGAAGGAAGTGTTTTCTCTGAGTTCTTGACCTTCCTCTGCCACCCATTTTCCCTCTCGCTGCTGCAAATTCAAATACTGAAAACTCCCTCTCAGAATTGAGAATCTGAGATGGTGGCAAAGGGGAAAAGGAGAGTGAGGAGTTAACAGAAACTGAATTGAAGAAGGTTTAGGCTGGGTTTTACATGATTGGGCTTGAAATGTCGCTAAGGCCCACTTTTTATGCAAACTCTTCTTTATGTCAAAAGGCCCATTTTGAGAAACAATAGATTTGGAGTTTTGGTGAAATAATTTCAATTAGATCGTTGTAGATAGGTTTAAGAGTTTTATCGATTTTATAATCATTATAAATATTATTTGATATTTGAGTTTTGAAAATGTCTTAATAATATAGTGATATTTGTTATTGTGGATCCTAGAATGCTCGAAATTCTAGAAAGAAGAAGTAAAAGATTACTACTCAGAAAGAAAAAAAACATTCTAAAATGAATTTTATTTTGGAGAGATCCTTTATCATAGTTATACGTGTGATTTCCTTCTCAATTAGTGTGTTTCAGTTTTAATTCATATTTAGATATATCGTATATAAACAAAATCTAATATAAACGGTGTAGCGAAATCTTTTCATGAGTACTTGAAATTAAAATTTGTGTCAGATTTTTTCCCACAAAGTATATATATGGGACATCCAAATACATGTATGTTGGATATATTGGGATCAAAATTGAATGTAATATATTTCAGATACATTATATTTAAGTGGAGTTACATGTATTTGAAAATAATGACTCTTTCAATTGCCGCTCTCTTGAATATATATAACATCGAGATACATGTACTCAGTGTGATTCGCATGTATGTATTTATTTGTATTTCAAAGTCTATGCAACAATAAGACTATATGTATGTAGGTGTATTTGACTTTGAATTAATATAAATTATTAATTGGTGAAACAATATATATTTACTTTAATGAGGACAATTTTAAAAACATGATATAAATATTGGTGTAATCAAGTAGTTTTTCCTTTCTTTTTGGATTTTTTCGCCAATAGACAATGTAATAAATTTAATTATGCTCCATATTTATAGTTTGCACATTTACGAGTTGTAGTTATAGTTTAAGTTGCTCTATAATTTGTGGGTGAGTACATATAATTTGCTTATATATTCATATGATCAAGCTATTTTCGTATAAACTTGACATAACAAATTTATACAAACACAAACATTTAAACTTCAAACCATTACACAAATCATATTTTACAAAAATTAAATTATAGAAAAGTTATACAAATTTAAATTATACAAACTCGAAACCCCAACTCACGTATATCGTAATGTCATCAAATTTTGTTAGCGAGTGGTAATTACTAAAAAAATATAAGGAAAAATTGTATATAATAGCAAACTAATAACCTAAAATAAATGGAGTAGCTAGGGTTTAATTTAATTGTGCTCCATAGCAAACGTTAGCCAAAGTTTGACATGCACCTCTCTCCCAAAGTTAACGTTCGTATAATAACATCAATGACATGATGATGAATAAACAAAACAAAAGAATGGCACTAGATAGACGTAATTACAAATATGAAGAGTTCAAAACATAATGCTTTGAAGTGATAAGATTTGGGAGTTTTACGTTTTTACTATTCATTTCCAAAGTATAGTGTTAAGCAAGCATTACCCGAAACGCTTGGCAAAAGACCTGTATGCAGGCAATAGACCTTCAGCAACTGCTAGCCTTAAAGACTCGCGCAACTCACTGTCAGGAACTGTCCATTGAGATTGCCTCTGATGAATTTCCTCAAATAACATGTTGAAAGTCTTAAATCGTGTTATACACTTAATTATACAATTTATAAATATTTTATTTGAATTCAATTGTAGACAAATGCAAATTTTATATAAATATTGCATAGAAAAAAGCCAACGAATTATACAATTGCAAATTATACAATTTTCTCTAGCTTTATACAACAGAAGTGTATATATTGTGTTTCTGTTTTTGCATAAAGCGAGAGAAAAACATATATCTTTTTGCTATACGCTTATAATTATGCAATATACATACATTTTAATTCGATTCAATTATATGCAAATCAAATTTTATAAAAATATTGTAGCGAAATAGACAGCGAATTATACAATTGTGCATTATACAATTGGAGTGAAATAGGATAGCGAATTATACAATTGCAGCGAAATAGGCAAGCAAATTATACAATTTAGGCCAGCTAATTATACAATTGTAAATGTATAGCGAATTATATAGTTTTATATTTGCTATGGAGCGCAATTATGCAAACTTTGCTATAGCATACAAATATGAATTTTTTGTTTCGTATATGTGAAAGTTGCCTTATAATTTACGGGCGACCAACCAAACCGACCCGTTTTAATCCGTTTGGAGGTTTTGGGTTTTTCTTGATGAACACTCCATATTTCTTCCACCATAATCCCCTTCTTCTCCTGCAATTCATCTTCCAAAACCCCAACTCTCTGTAAAAATGGGTAGCAATCAAGCAGCATTATCGTTTCTCAAATATCTTGCAGTAGGCGCAGCGGGGATCGGTGCCGGAGCAACAGCTCTCAGCTCATGCCTGTACACTGTCGACGGCGGCCAACGAGCCGTACTTTTCGACCGCTTCAAAGGAATCATCGACGATGTAGTTGGTGAAGGGACTCATTTCTTAGTTCCATGGGTTCAAAAACCCTTCATCTTCGATATCCGCACAAAACCTCACACGTTCTCCTCTTTCTCCGGTACAAAAGATCTCCAGATGGTCCATCTTACCCTCCGTGTTCTCTCTCGCCCAGAAGTTTCACGTCTTCCAATAATCTTCAAAACCCTGGGTCTCGAGGTACTGAATTCGCATATTTTGTTTATAAACTCTGTATAATGTACCTTACTATTGCATATAAAGGTTTTGTAACTTTTTGCATTTTGTATGCTAGTGTATATAGGATTAATGTTTTCATTTACGATTACAGTATGATGAGAAGGTCCTTCCTTCAATCGGCAATGAAGTTCTCAAATCTGTCGTGGCACAATTCAACGCGGATCAGCTTCTCACTGAGCGTCCACAGGTGTCTGCATTAGTTCGTGAGACTTTGATTCGTCGTGCAAAGGATTTCGACATTGAGCTTGATGATGTGGCGATAACACATTTATCATATGGTGCTGAATTCTCTACGGCTGTGGAAAAGAAGCAGGTTGCCCAGCAGGAGGCGGAGCGGTCAAAGTTTGTCGTGATGAAGGCTGAGCAAGAGCGGAGGGCTGCAATTATTAGGGCTGAAGGAGAAAGTGAGTCTGCTAAGTTGATTTCTGATGCAACTGCAGCTGCTGGTATGGGTTTGATTGAGCTTAGGAGGATCGAGGCTTCGAGGGAGATTGCTTCGACCTTAGCTAAGACTCCCAATGTGTCTTACTTGCCCAAACAGAACATGCTTCTGGGATTGAATGCAGCACGTTGATTAGGTAATTAGGTTAAGTATCCGTCTTCCACGTCTAGTTTTTGATATAAGCACATTGCTCTCTGAAGTAGAATATAGTACAATCTAATCGAGTGAGTAGTTACTGCACGATTCTGTGCCGAAGAGCGAAATGATGAAATACAGAGGTGGGAATTAAGAGCAAAAAGGTTTTCTAACTGCCATATATATGCCTTTCGTTTTCACCTTTTCAGAAGGAACCTTGATAATCTGTTTGTTATCTTCACGTATCTTGGAATCAATCCGTCAATAGTGTGGTTGTTGCATTGTTATCTTCTGATGTACAAAGTCTACGCAGTGTCATCTGAAATGCTATCAGATGAAACCGAGTTTTTGAATCAGTATAACTGCTATTCATATTATTGTACAGAGGATGGAGGAGATTGGTTAATAATTTTTTATCATTGTAGTGTGAGAATACTGAAGGATGGTAGGGGAATAGAATGTTGTTATATGCAATACATGAAAACTCAATCGAGTCTGCGTTAGTTTGGGAACTTACTCCCTTTTGGTTTAAGAACGAAACACCAGAGAATGACCTTCTCTATGGTGATTTGCTATGTTGAATTATTCTAGAACATATGATTTTCTTCACGAAGTTGAGCTGTGTAACACATACATTGGTAATAGCGAAATTTTCCCATGAGTTGAAGCCAAGAGTTGGACTGATGCTGAGAAGTCCCATTGTGTTTGCTATTGGTTTCTTGGGCAAAGTTCGATATTAATATTGTGAATATCATAGTGATGTATGCAATATGTTTCATTTTTTTTCGTTCATAAATATTAAACGAGGTAGATATGTTTTCCTTCTTACAATCAACTCCAATGTACATTACTTAAAACCTGTGAACCAAGGATCAACAAGTTTAGAATTCGATTAGCAATTGATCATATTGATCTCTGAAGAGGGTAGAGTGTACGTACAGTTTTATTGACTCTGTCATTGATCCTTGTTAAAATATTTCTTGTGACTGTGATAGTAATCAAAGGGATTTAAACTTTTAACTCATACATACTGATATTATAAATTCTTTACGCTATCAATGTAATCTGATTATGTACAGCAAGTTATTACAGTAATTTATTTTTTAGGCAACTATGTTAGCCTTACTTAACCTGATATATGTTACTCGGACTCTTCAAACTGTCATCATATGCGCGTCAAATCCTTCAAAGATGGTGTATTTTTGGAGGATTTGACACGAGTGTGACAACGTTTTTAGAGAGTCCGAGCAACTTACACTATTAATGGGAAGAACTTAAACTCATGTTTGTACAGTTTTTTCTGATAAAGAAAAATGAAGCATATTCAATATGTATATACAGAACAAAGGCCTATTCAGTGGATGGTTTTATGAAAACTTTTCCTCCTTATGAGATCACCAACTTTTCGAAACAATGTTCTTTTCCTCCTGATAGGACTTCTATCACTGACAGAATCTTCAGTTTTTGGTGATCCTCCATCATCTGAGGAGGAAGAAGAGGAATCTATCCGGTGATGAGGAACCTTTTCTGGTGTATGGGGATCTGCCTCGGGTTTTGGTGATTCAATTATTGACCTCTCAAGTGTTTCAGCCTTTTCAGGATCCTTATCTTGGATTTTCTCTTTCAAATCTTCTTGTTCTTGTTGCAACTTGAGCTTTTTCGTAACTTGGAGTTCCTCTTCTTGCTCCTTATCCTTGGTATTGAGTGATGACGAAGATTTGCTCAAAGACATGCTCAAGTCTTTTGTTTCTAGTGTTCCTGTATCATCTGAGAAGGCAAACGAGGATGCTCTCCGATGATGAGATACTTGTTTTGATATATGGAGCTCTGATTTTGGTGATTCATTTATTTCAAATATTGTGTCCTCAAGTGCCTTGGCCATTTCGAGATTCTCATCTTGGATTTTGGCTTCTAAATTTTCTTGTTCTTGTTGCAGATTTACACTGCTGGAAGTGTTCTTGATATGGAGATCCTCATAATGCTCCACTTCTTGCTCCCTATCCTCGGTTTTGAGTGCTGATGAAGAGAGCAACCTTTTTAACTTCTTGACTTTTTCTTGAGCTGCAACTTCATTAATCCCAAGTCGTTCATTCTCTTGAGTAAGTACACGAACTGATTCCTCCTTTTCAGCTTTAGAATCCTTGAGTTGAATGTTCTCATCTCTAGCTAGGTCAGCTGCAGTTTTTGCAGCGTCTGCTTCATTTATAGCCTGCTTCAATATGCCCTTTAATTTGTAAACTTCTCTCTTAGCTGCTCTAGTGATACGCTCAGCTGCTTTAAGAGACTCCGCGAGTGTAGCAGCCTCATCCTGAGCTAGCTTCTTTTCTTCTTCAGCTTTCTTTATACGCTCAGCTGCTGTTTCTCTATGTAGTTCACTTTCCTTTTTCGCCTCATTCAAAAGCTTTTGATATCTAGCCTCCGCGTTTCTAACCATTTGTTTCAATTGTCCTGCCTCATCTTTAACTTGTTCGAGTTCTAATTGAGAAGCACTGAGTTTCTCCTTGGCCTCATAAGCTTCAGCAGCAATCTCTTTCAACGCTAACGCTAAATCATCCAAGGCCTTTTGGCTTTTTTCTTCTGCATAAGTTGCAAATTGAAGTTCATTTCTAACCAAATTTATCTCATCGCTCAATGCCTTAGCTTTTGATGAAGCAAACCTCTCTCTTTCTTGGATCATAGCTAAATTCGCCTTCGCTAATCCAAGTTCAAACCTGAGGCATCCAAGTTCCTTCTCTAAAGCAATCTTTCCACTACAAGAACCATCACAACGCCAGCGATTTTGCTCAGATGAAGCCAGTAGTGATTCAATCTCTTCATGTAGTAAAGATATCTCAACTTTGGATTCTTCAAGTTCAATCTTAGTTAGCTCAAATTCCCTTGTCTGTGAGGCCAACGAATCGAATATTTTGGACTCCGTTAATCGTCTATTTGCTACTTCAGCTTCTAGTTCATGAACCCTTTTCTTGAAATTGCATAGTAAATCCATTGCCTGAGCTTCATGAGCTACCTCTTTCATATGCCTAACCTCCTCCTCCGCAAATTTTCCCATTTGTTGATCAATTCTACAAGCAAAAACATTCACAAATAATGAGAAGTTGCAAAGTTTTAGACAAAAGCCAATATTCATGCAACACCAAAAAGTCACTTTCCAATAGAGAGAAAACAATATTCAAATATAATAATCCAAACAACGTAGAATGTCTACCTCGTCGAGATAAAGAGGTTATTTTTTATTAGACAGTTTGAAAATAGAAATACATGAATGAGAGCATTAACAACAACAAAATAATGTGAAAAGGAGTCCAGCAAAGGAAAGAACTATATATATACCGACAAAAGAATAATACAATATAACCGAAACTACAAGAATAATGCTACTATCGCGATAAGAAAGAAAGTCCAAGTACGACCACGACAATAAAGCCCAAGATAAAAATTACAATAGAAGAATATGAAGGATGAAAGAATTAATACCTTGGATACAATGGCCAATCTATGAGGTTTCTTTCAAGAACAAGAAAATAAAGGATAAATGGTTATAACTTTTAAGGGGGGTTTTGGTGTCCAAAATATATAGACCCCAAATGTACAAATCTTTAAAAATATCCTAAAGATCAAATCTTCGTTCTTATATAAAAAAAAACAAGGGAAAAAAAAAGTAGAAAGAAACCACATAAAAACCTTAACAAACTGTATCCTAGAAAACCTCTGAATTTCAAAGATTAATATATAGTGTAGACACATATAACACTAGGAAAAGCATTGTGAGCCAATAAAAATGAGTCAAGACATTGTGGCCAAAAGATTTAGATAAACATTTGTGTGCTACGTGTTGAAATCCCTGTTTTTTATGGGAGAGAACGTTTGGTTTTTGACGAAGTCCGAAGTTGAAGGAGGTTTGTTAGGAAGATTAGAGCAATTTTTTATTTTTTTTTGGCTGATTTGACATTCTAGAAGAGATGTACGACAACATAATGTTGTGTTTAAAGAGATAATGGTCAAAGTTTCATATCACGTCTTTGCGAGTTTCACATCCCTCAACGATGGATAGTTAGGGCATGAGCATAACAAACTGAAAAAGAAAAAACCTCAAATATGTTTTGACCATTAACTTACAACAGACATGGTAGAGTTTGATTTCATTGCTTCTCGAATACTGCTTTAGCATTTAAAAAAGTTGCTCTATCAAAGAGCCAACAGAGTAGTAGAAGAGTCCTTTATTTGTAGATATAAAATCAATAATATCTACAACTTGGAGACTAGCCATTAGATGAAAATACTGAACATTGTTAAACACCAGAGGTGTGACAATCTAGACAAAATGTCTACAACGGCAACAAGACTACAGCACATTCCGGGCTACCAAAACAAACTTAGAAGCACATTACCCTACTACTAAATTCATTAGTTGTCTTTGTCTAACAAGAAAAGAGTTAAAATACGACAAACAAAGCTACTACTTCAGTAAACAAACTAAGCACGCTCGCCTCTAATTCGCCTGGCAAGCTGAATGTCCTTTGGCATGATAGTCACACGCTTGGCGTGAATGGCACAAAGGTTAGTGTCCTCAAAGAGACCCACCAAGTAGGCCTCAGCAGCCTCTTGCAGAGCTAGCACCGCATGACTCTGGAAACGCAAATCAGTCTGAAAGCAAACCAATGCACAAAGAAGAATCATCCATCATCATCAAGATAACAGTACCAATTTCAGAACTAAATAGATGTGAATGAATGAAAATTTACCTTGAAGTCCTGGGCAATTTCACGAACAAGCCTCTGGAATGGAAGCTTCCTGATCAAGAGCTCAGTACTCTTTTGGTACTTACGGATTTCACTACACAACGCAAAATCCCAATCAATAACATTCACACAATGGCATGTTCAAGAATGATGTACTTTTAAAGACTAAAGAGAGCATATGCAATACATACTGAATCACACAACGCCATCTATACTTACCGAAGAGCAACAGTACCAGGTCGGTATCTGTGTGGCTTCTTCACACCACCAGTGGTAGGAGCAGACTTACGTGCAGCCTAATACACATACAAAGCAAGTCAAAAACTAATAATACATACAAAAGGAGTTCAACAGAAACCAATAACAAAACTAAAACACAAAGACACCTTAGTGGCAAGTTGTTTCCTGGGAGCCTTTCCTCCTGTAGACTTACGAGCAGTTTGCTTGGTACGAGCCATCTAAACACCACAACCCACAATTTTACATAAGAACAGCAACTCAATTTTGCCAAAATCAAGGCGCATACCCACAATTCACAAAAATTAAGAAAATCCTAATGAAAGATTTCAACTTTAGACTAAACACAATGATATGAAGCAAATACACAACCATTCAAAAAGCTTATCCTTAACAAAGAATACAAATTTGCAGAACCTAAAATCACTTCACTACAACAGCTCTTTAACAATCAATCCCCCAAAATATATTCGAATTTACACCTAATGTATCGATACCAACACTAACATTCTATTTTATTTAGCAAAAAAGGAATTTTTTCCCTAAAACCCTAAAAATAACACCGCAAACACCGAGCCATCAAAATAATCAAACTAATCTAACCAACATTCCTTAAAAGTCAAAACCCTAGCTTTCTCCCACTAAATTCTACTACTACAGCAAACCCTAGCCATAAAATTTCAAAAAAAAAAAACACAGAATCAATCATGATCTTCAAAAACACAAACAACACAAATTCATAAATATAAACTGCAAAATACTTCCAAAAACTTACCTCTCAGAAAAACTATTACTCCTTCTTCTTCTTCTCCTCCTCTTTAGATTTTGTGAATGAAAAAAATTCTACTGAATTTGCAGGTTAAAGAGTATATATAAGGGATCTGACGGTTCAGAATAACTATACGTGTGCTTTTATAATCAAGTATCTACGGTTAATAAATATGTTAACTGTGTTTTCTAAAAGTGATTGGACGGTTCAGATTTAACTTGGGAGTGTGTGCCGGATTGAGAAGCCTTAATACTTGGTTCTCATTGGTTGAAATTATTGAGGATTCAACTTTGATTGGACCTTAGTGATAATTTTGCTTTGGCATTTTGAATTTTGTTGTAATTATTGTCATTACATAAGAGTCAATTATTTATTGAATATGCATTATTAAGCACATACTATGTAATCTATAGTGATTAGGAGTAAGTGTTGTTATTTGATTTCAATATTTTTTTTGGTGATGTCATCATTAGATTTTTATTTTTATTTTTTAATTTGATGTCTGGCCTCGATATTGAGGGGTAAACTGTAAAGGCTCTCTAACAAAGACGATTTTGTATCTAAAGTATTTGGATATGAGATTTCTAGTTAAGGATAAAGGAGTATTTATAGTCGACAATCGTTGATGGTCATGTCTATGTTAGATTTGAATTTCACACTATTTATTTTGTTGATTCGTGATTATTTTTAGAAGTATTAAAAGTACTTATTAATTATTAGTTTTATTTCTGAATTAGAGATATGCACTATTTACCTTGACTAAATGAATTTACTTACATCCTCGATTTTGTAACATGGAAAAATACACACCTAAATTCTCGTTAAGTTTAGGAGTGTTTTCTATACCTCTCTTAGTTTTTTATTATGAGCGTCATATTCCTACAAGAGTTTAAGACCAGTTGCTATGTCATATCTAGAAATTTGTATCAAAAATTTAAGACCAATTGCTATGTCATATCTAAAAACAAGGAAACCGAAGATCTACTAGGACTTCAATTAACAATGTTACATATAAATATTGATGCAAAGAATGTTCTCACCCAACTAAGCTATGACCTCTCGAATTGTTCCTTTATTTTTATTGAATATAATAAATATATCTGACCTCTCGAGTCATCTGCTTAATCTAATAGTAATCATGTGTTCAGGAAACAAAATTTAATTGCTAATCAACTAGTACATTTTGGTACAGAATTTTTGAACAATCTTTCTTTTTTGCTTGAGATCTCCAAATGTTGCTTTACAAAAAATAACTATAATCAGCTACAAATATCAATTCTTGAAACATCATCATCTTCTTTTTGTAGTTAACATTTGTGAAAGCTTATCAACAACTACTAATAACAGTACAAGAATATGTAGTACTAACAATAGAATAAATATCCCCTTATTTAGAAGGGAGAGTTTGGAAAGGACGAACATGACTTCAAAGTTGTACCGTGCAATTCCATGAAGCACACAAATAAGGACATCTTTGTAGTTTCAAGGCATAAATTGCTTTTTCTTTTATGAAGCCACGTGTTGTTACTTGGTGCAGCTTTCTTCCCAATATTTAACTCATTCCCACCTTCTCCAATTCATTCCAACCTATTCTTTATGAAGTTGTCTAATGAAGTTCTTGAAATGGTAAAGAAACTACTATTAAATGTTCTTAATATGTTGGGTGTTTTCTTTATTTACAGGGAATAAATAAATCTGCTCTTTGACATTATTGAAATTACCTAATGCAGGAAAGAGCAAAATATAGTTCAGGTTACAATCTTTTTGAACTTAAATTTAAACACCTTATTGCTTTGTTTGTGTGATTAATTCAATAATGTATGTGTGACTATTGTTTTGTTTCAACTTATCCTTGGGTGCATGTTTGATTGTGTGTTATTTTCTCTTCTTCCTTTGTTTTACTCATTTCATTATGATGGGATTGCAATAGCAGACTTTGATTTTCTTCTTATTTTGAATATTTTGGTCCAATAAAGATTTATAATTTGCTATCGAATGAATTTTATTAGAAACTCACTGATTTGACGATTACTATGTTTTGGTCCAAATATGGATACTTGAAGTTCATGAAATTGATTGTCTCGATTATATACTTATTTGAATGTGATAAACGAAGTTGGTTATCTTGATTCTCTGCTCCAATGAAATATGATATACATTAATAACAAAATTGGTTATCTCATTCTACTATGTCCGATTCTCCGCTCCAATTTTCTCTCATTCATCAGTGTTATACAGTTCTTAGATTTCTTTTGGGGTAAATTTTACTATTATTCAGTACTTCTATTTCTTTACCAATTCTCCGCTCAAATTTACTGTATTAAATTTCACCCTTGGTTTTGCTTTACTTTGTCTGTAGAGTATGTACACAAAGCTAAAATCATTTTAGTTTTTGATCGCTATCATGTTTCCTCTGATTTGTTCTTCTGAATTCCTTTTGTTGGTCACTTCAATTCTTTGTGAATAAACATTAAAAGTAGACACAATTTTGTATGTGTACCTTAGTTTCCTTCTCTTTTGATACAGTTTCTGGCTAAGATTTCTAAATGTGCCTTACTAACTGTTTGATTTGCACATGCATTATTTTTCTTTGATGAATTCAATATTTACTGTCATTAATAAGTGCAAAAGTTAGATTGTCTTACAAAAATCTTTATATCAAGTGAATTATGCATCTTTATTATTTTTCTTTTTGGATTGCATCATGATTTTTGTATCAGGACTAAAGGCATATATTGGAGCATGTCAATTTATCTGATCTTGATGGTTTTGGTTCTACTGCTTAAGATGTGGGCCACTTTGTAGTCAATTATCGTCTTGTACAAAACACGCAAGGTATTAGTATTAATTATTTTTTATGGATATTCTTTGTGGTTTACTTTTGATCAACTATGTAGTTTTGAGTATTACATATATATTCATTGATATTCACTTTTCATGTTTTGCCGTTTGTTTTTTTGTTTCACTATTTCTTTGAATAAACAAGTAGCAAGATTATCATATGTTTGATTGTATATTTAATAGCTGAACACAATGTTATTACTAACATAAAAAGAAGCTTTGATAAAGTAGACAAGATATGTTTTTTCATATTTTGTGACAGTAGAGTTTAATAGTACTTTAGAAAAGGAAAAATACTTAATGTGATATTCTATGATAAATATGGGTTTAGTCTTCAAATATGTCTTCAAATATTTTGAAATAGTCCAAATATGTTTTCACCCCTAAGTTAGTATCAACACTTTCTCTGTTCAAGTATGCATCCCCTTATCTAATTAAGAGAATGAAAGATGATTTATTTCTCCAACCAATTCTCTGGATATTAATCTCCGCTTTGGATAAACACATGATTATTAGGATTAGTCTAACACCATTTTTTCATTTGAAAGAAAAAATATCTTAAGGAACGTTAATGTGTCAGGATGTTGTTCGTTGGGCACTGTTTAAGTTTAGGATAGGCGCTTAGAAGTTTTCTTGGTTGATAGATGAGTTCTTCATTAGAAATTACACTAATTAATATAGAACTAAGTCGGAGTCAAAGTATGTAAAACAAATGATGATTGGCTCTACCCACAGTTATATAACAAGTTATTGGTCGTTGACATTAGTAGGTATTTTGTCTCATTACACAAAAAGAAACAAGTATTCAATATTTTTTTCTTTCATTCCGTACTATCATTTTTAGAAAAGTAACTGTTGTATAATTATTCATGATATTCTATTTTGTTGTCAATTTAATAGCTTAGTCACCTCTAATTTTGTTGTGTATTTCATAGCTTAGGTATAATTGTCAAATAAATGATACTTCTGTGATAGAATTTTCCCAAAAATAAGAAAGAGAGTGAAGTCGTGATCTGCTATTATTTAATCAATTGTTCTATAGACAACAATCATTGATACAATTGCGAGTTGTTAATGTCAAATTGATCATTATTCTCTTTACTATAACATATGTTTGAAAAAGATGTCATGGTTAGAAAGCCGGACTTTCTTTGCACAATTAAGTAATAAAAATATCAGTTTTACATTCTTTTAACTTCTTTTAATCTACACTTGTGTTAAAGGAACACATAGTACATTCTTTGCAGGGAGGGCAACTTCAAATAGTTTTTCCAATGCAAAAGAAATTAATTGTGGTGATTGATTGCTCTTGAGCTTTTATTTTTATTTTACTAAGTATCAACATGGAGCTAAAAGTTAATATTTGCATAATTAGTTAAGGTTAGAAAATATTTCTAGCTTTTACATCATGCTTGATGTTCACAAGTTTGTGAAATTCATGTTAAATAGTAGGAGTTTATATCTATATATAGAAGTGGCCAAGGAAGCAGCTGGATGTTCTCCTGCCAACTTTATATTTCTAACTTTTATGTCATGCCTGATGTTCACAAGTCTGTGAAATTCATGTAAAATAGTAGGAGTTTATATCTATATGTAGAAGTGGCCAAGGAAGCAGCTGGCCGTTGTCCTGTCAACTCTTTTTTCAGGGTAGTTTTGCCATTAACCATGTTTGACATGTGTTGAATTCTTAAGCCATCTGCCTCTATCTATCTCTCAACCTGGTTGTCGCTTTATTCGTATGCAACTGTGTGTTGATTTTGGTTTCACTTTTGTTTCTTCTCCAGATGGATCAACTTTTATTTGTCTCTGGTGACCCTTCAATCTCTTGCCACTATTTCCTTGAATCTCTTGCCATTTTTGTGTTAATTTATCGATGTTATTGTCATGAATTTAGAAATTAAGAAAATTAATTTTTATGACAAAGCTTACAGTTGTTAGGTCTTAGGAGCTAATTTTTGTTGCTACTGTTACAGTTCTTAGGTCTTAGGAGCTAATTGTCCTGCCAAATTTCTTTTTTCAAGGTATAGTCAGGTTATCTTTTTTCACCTGAATTTTCTTAGAGGTTGGGACTTTTTTTAGCTAATAAGTAAATGTGTAATCTGTAGGAGTAGATTACAGCCTCTCACTTTCAATTATCAAAATTTCAAGCCAAAGATATTTTAAATGTGGTAGTCTCAAATTGAATAATTCACAACAAACAAATGAGTGTATTTAAGTGTGAGAACTACATGTACTAATGCCAAAGCAACAAAATATAAACATAGACTCATTATTGAGTTGTAGAGGATGAAGAATGTGATAAAATAATTTGCTTGATTGTTCTTTCAATCAATCACTTCTTCAAATCAGTACTTGCCTGTGAAATGTTGAGCGTTAAAGATAGTGTTGAAGTTTTACAACATTTCTATAATAAGAATGTTATCGAAGAAAATGATATATGTTACTGATTTAGAAGCACCTTTTCAACTGTAGTTACAAAGGAATTTAATCACAAATAAGACATGCATTGTAGTACAAAATCCACATAAAATCTTCTACAACTCCCCTTAGCTTTCAGACACTCCTTTCCCATTTAAATTATGGTCATGCTATATTTTAATTTCTTGAATTTCTTGTATTTTCTAGTTATTAGTTGGTCACCTCTAGAATATCTCACTGTTAATATAGTCACATGTTTCTTGTTACCGATAAAGACGGACCACAAGTCTATCACAAAGATAAGCTAATTAAATTTGAGACTACATATGGATGAAGCCGGAAGGGAGATAAGGAAATGAAAAAGAAATCATATAAAATAGATCACCTTAGTTGCGGACTCTCCACTTTTGATGCCGCACTCGGAACCTAGGACCACAAGTGATCCCAACCTAACACTGCGGACATGATCATGAGCATACTAAAGATAATAAATTGAATACGAAAGCTAAGTCATAATTTAAACTGAAAAAGATGGGGAATACCCATATTTTATAACTGAGATATTTGAAAACAGTGAGTTTAATACAAAGAAGTTATTAACTCAATACTAAATTGAAACTAACTATGTCTCAAATAAGCCTCGAACTAACTAGAAATGCTGGGACAAACCCCAGCTAAGTCTAGCAAAAACTGAAACTAAATGACTGAAATACTAAAATGAACTCATGACTATTGTCCTCGGAGAATGAGAAATCACTACTGATTTTGATGAACTAGAAATCAAAAATCGATCTAAGCGTTATCTGGATGCTGAGAACCTGAACCTTTATCTATATCATGAGAAGATGTAGTGCACGTATGCGTCAGTACTTGAAGCTACTAAACATGTAGGATAGAATAAAGTTGAAATAAAACATAACTAAACAAGCATAAATGAAAGTGTAATAATCTGAACATGATATACTGAATTTTGAGCTAACTGGATGCAATGACCAAATTTATAACATATTGAGACTGAATAATAACTGAACTGTAAATATGGTCAATGCATTAGAGTCTGACTGATCTGTGGGAACTACTAATAACTGATAATAAAACCACATGAGCTAAATATGGAGATGTACACGCCCCATCAAGAGGATCCAATATACCCTGCCAGAGGTATAAAAGCATGATGGCGTGATCACTAAGCTGATTGCCCACAGAGAGAATGTTGTGTGAATTCCTTGTGTTGCAAAGTCTTTTCTAATTGGTCTTCAACTCAATTGTGTTAAACAACTTCTTCTCCTCCGAGTTTGTTCCTTTCCGAAGGAGCTTTAATTTACTGAGTGACTTACCTATGTTATTTTGCACAATCATTGAAGTAACTGTGAAACCTTGACTGAAGTAAGAGCTTTGATATTAGTATATGTTATATAGTGATATATGCTGACTGATGTTTTTCATTAATAGTTTTCTTGGAGAATTACATTTGTAACAAAATAGTGACAAGTTTGTACCTATTTGACTTTACATTAGTTGTTTAGTAGTTTCTATATAGTTTTACTTTAAGACAACCCTCATTTTATCATACGTTTCAGTATGATTTTAGTAGCTGATTTCTTTATATAACTAAGATTTAAAAGTGTGAAGTTGAATATTTTTGCAGCCCTTTCATTTCATGTTTTGCATAAGATGATTGATACTTGGGATTACAATTAATATATACTTGCTGGAGACTTTATCCAGTTTTGTTACAATCTATTCACCTCAATTCTGTACTTGCTCCTGTTTTCCTTTGTTATAGTATAATTGGCTTTTGTATGGGCAACAATCATTATGAATTGCTTTGATGGTTAAACATGGCTGACATTATCTCTCCAAACTATCTCATTAACCTTCATCTTTTCTATCTACTTTATCATGTGTTATTGCCTATTTACTTACAGGACCATGACAACATCCAGTTGAAATCAATTTCAATGAAGTCTCACGTAAACTTCATATGGGACACTGAAGGAGGCTCTATAAAGAGTAATTGAGGCGTGAAAAAGTTTATTCCTCACACTTTCTCCACTACTTGCCCCTCTTCTTCTACTTCATTCATTGATTTCAGATAATATCTCGTTTAGATTTGTCCTTAATCTATAATTTCCTCCAGCTAGCCTTTATATATTCCTGCTTGTGTTTAATTTTGGTCATTAATAACCTTATTCTTGCTACTTCAGATATAAATTAATTGGTCTAGCTTTCACCAATTTTCCTACCTTCCTGTTGGAACACTATGACAAAACTGTTATGAATTTTAGAGTTCCAACTTAAATCGTTGGAGCTGATTGGTCTTTGTTTTCGATAAAAGACAAATGAACTTACTGCAACGACGAACAGTGTGCCTTCATTATCCCTTCGCTTAGAAAAAGGTTGTACTCTCAAAATTTCTCACTTCATAGATCTAATGTATTGTGAACTTGAAAGATTCAATTTCTTTTTTTTTTTTACAAAAAGTCCCTCTACTCATATTACAACTTCTAAATAAAATTGAATCCATCGGTGAGCGGCCTAGAGAGGAAACTAACGTTTCAATGAACCCAAACTCTAGCTCTAAAATGCAGAAGGTATTCCACTCTTCCCACTTCTACTTATACATTTGTGTGTGTGTTTGCTCCCTTTTTTGTTTGTCCTGACATAATTAAGCTTCTGCTCTACCTTTACAAGGTATCATAATTGCAAATTTCTGTCAGGCAAAAAAGTTGTTACCCTTTTTATTTTCCAGTCATTCATAAACTACCAATTTTAGTAGTGGTGCAGTAATATTAGCAGTGTTGCAATTCAAAAAATGCAATACTTATTTGTGCCCGAGTGCGTGATGAAGAAGGTTTTCATATTTATCGCATATAGAATTATTGTATTCATATACAAACCAAGCCCCTGAAAAACTGTTTAATGAAATATCGAATATGGGAACTCATCTACTCTGCAATTTAGACAAAAATAGAATTATGGTGATGGCATATTTGGTAAATACTAGTGATATTTTAGTAGATAATCGCGAAAGAATCTCTGAATGTCATGGAATATGGAAACTTTCCATGAATTCAAGATTGCTAAATAGTCTTCAGTTATATGGGATTTCAATTAAAATTCATACATTGTGTTGTTAATTCTTTCATACTATTGTTTGAATTTAATGATGATGTTCTTCAAACATTTTGAGTAACTACTTTTGACTTATTCAATATTTATTATGTCTTTCCCTTGCAGATGTTGAAGGAATATAGATCTAACTCGCGCTAATACATCTTCATATACTACTAACACGAGCACTAATTGTGGAAAAAACAGAGAGACGTTGCAAACCTACACCTACACCTTCAAATATATAGGACCATATGTGCAGCTTCATTCAAATAGTTGGAGCAACACTCACTTTATATCCTATTTATGAATCTAACAAGTCTTTCCAATCACAAAGACATTAAAATTTTATGCATCTTAGCGTCACATTCAATTGCACATCATTGAATATAACATGTTGTAAGAACTATTGAAAATTTACAAAAAATACATTATTTATGTTGGGCCCGGGCGTTGTCCGGGCCTATCCTTACTAGTATGGTACTAAACCTATCTTGTATAATACATATTAAAATAATCTTTTGATTTCCATGTACCAATTATCTATCTAAAGTAATACAAGTCTTTATCTTTTCAACCCAAAAGAAAAAAGAAGTTAATACAAGGAATAAGATAAAACAAATGGGGTCACATTTTTCAAAATAAATAAACAAAGAAAGCTTATTAATAATTTGATTTTAAAATAAACAAACAAAGAAAGCTTAGTAATGATTTGTTTTTCCGCGAGAGCTCATGTCTATGAAAAATTTGGCACTTTGATGTAGGCAACTTACCAGAAATATATAATACTGTATTTGAAGAATTGAGTTGCTAGCCCATAAAGTAGTATATGAGTTGGAGCCAAAATGTCGTGAGACAAATCAATTTATATTCGGTGTGGATATTTGGGCATTGAGTTAATTTTGTTCCAATACAAAAGAATCATAAAATATACACCACTTATGTATCAATTTTATATATATATATATATATATATATATATATATATATATATATATATATTATTTATTTATTTA